TGTAGATCCTTCAAGGGATGCATGTTTAATATTTCCCATTTCCTCAAAACTATAGTTTGATACAATATATAGCCTACATCTTCAATTCACTTGTGTTTCACTGCTGGAAATTCTTTTTTAATTATTTATTTTTTTATTTTAGAGATAGTGTCTTGCTCTGTTGCCCAGGCTGGAGTGCAATGCTGCAATCAGAGTTCACTGCAGCCTCAAACTCCTGGGATGAAACCATCCTCTGCCTCACCCTCCCAACTGCGGGATTACAGGCATGAGCCACCACACCTATCTGGAAATTCTTCTGTGGCTTTTTTGTACACAAAAAAAGCCTGACAGCTGAAGATTTTGAAAACTATAGTGATGTTTAAAATTGCCAAACCATCACCTCTAAATTAAAAAAAAAAAACACATTATTCAGGATTTGGCAATGTCTATTTAAGATCTTTGTATATAGATTCCTCTTTCTCTTTGAAAGAAACTGTTCTTAACACACTTTAGTCTTCAACCTATATTCCACAATTTTTCCATTTCTTCTATTTCTTGAGACCTTTTCTTGTTGACTTAATGCATTTGCACTTGTTCCAGCCACAGATGTTTCTTTTATTTTGTGGAGTTTCTGACTGTCTACAATGTGAACTTCTTTATATCTTTTACCTAAGAGATATTGTTACCAAAATACCAGGCCTTTGGTCCAGGTCCAGTTATTTGCCACACAGAAGACCAATCACTGAGATGAGCATTGCCAGAGAAGACTTTAATCAAGAGCTATCGCTGAGGAGATGGGTGATCAGTTTCAAATCTATCTTTCTGACCAACTAAAAGTAGGGGTTTATATAGCAGGGAAGAAATGTAATCATGTGTGGGAAAACAGTAATTTAGGGAGGGTAAGGAAGAAAAGTTGGTCAACAGGAAGTAGATACATGGTTAGGCAGTCATGATTGGTGAAGAGTCTGGTGTCTTATTTTTCAAACGCAATGATCTGGTAAGTTTCAGTTCCTGGATACTATCTGGGACTACTGAGAGTTCATATCCTGAGAAAGGAACTCAGGTAAGACAATTATAAGTTTCTCAAGTTCTAACACTGGGATGCTTAGTTTCTATGTTTTTTTCAACGATCCCTAAATATCAGCTCTATGGAATAATTGGGCTGGTTTCAATATCACATATTTTCTCATTTCCCTTAAAACTTTTACTATATCATGGCTTTACCCAATATTTACAGTTTTTCTCTTTCATGCACTGCTTAGCATTTTGAACCAGCCTTCTTAGGCATGTTTGGGAAGTTAAATCAGTGTTGTCGCTGCTGTTGTTTAACATAGAAAAGTTTACAAATGTGTAAAATAATAGCAAAATACAACCTTATCAGATAAGATATGCAGTGAACTGAGGTAGATGTCTGAGGACTGTGTGTGTGTGTGTGTGTGTGTGTGTGTGTGTGTGTCTGTGTGTGTGTTTTGTACTCCTCCATAGGATAACACAGTTAAGCTGGGTGCAGTTTTTTGTGTGAGTTTTCTTATGCACAATTTTATGTTTCCAACATAAAATTGTGCATAAGAAAATGCAAATTTAGTGTTATGATCAAACTATTCCCTAATATATGAATTGCATTGGAACAACTTCTGTTTTCAAAACAAGTGTAATAGCAAAACTGACTGCACTTTCTAAATGTGGAAAAAGATAAAATTGATTCCACAAAAATAACCTCCAAATGGATCAAAGATCTGAAGGTAAAAAATAAAACAAGTACAAGAAGAAGACAAGTACAAGACTAGAATTTCTATATAGCCTACGAGTGGAGAAAGTTTTCTAACCCCAAGCACAAAACCCAGAAACAATGAAAGATTTACAAAGTTGACTATATCAAAAACTGTTTAAATCATGACGAAAAAATAAAATAAATGCAAAGTCAATGAAAAAAATAACAAGTAGGAATAAAAGCTTGCAGCTTTTCACTAGCAAAGGGCTTAACTACTTTTTAGATAAAGACCTGATGATCAATAAGTATGATGACAGCATCTATTGGTAAGGCTTTGAGGAAAAAAATTGCTGATAAGTGGTTCAACAGAGGATGGAATGTTTCTCCATCTGTTTGTGTCCTCTGCCAAAATGTTACATCAGGAATATCGATCTAAAGTGCTTTTGCTTTTTGATGATGCACCTTCCTCCCCATCTTATGTATCCAATATTTTCTTTCCACTTCTATAACAAAAGTCTCCTCTACTAATTGGCAAGTGAAGCTGGCTATATTATCCCTGACAAGATAATTTGCATTTTAATAAGACAAAATCTATTCTACTAGGCATTAGAGCAATATTAATTATCATATGTCATATAATGATTCTGTACCACATAATGAGCTTGATTTGAATCAAGCTGAAGAGCCGTAACAGCCCACCCTTCTAGAGAAACTGAAAAACACTGAGATACAAAAGACCTATAAAGAGACTTAGACTCCTACACAATAATAGTGGGCAACTTCAACATCAATATTAGATAGATCAACGAGACAGAAAATTAATGATATCCAGGACTTGAACTCAGATCTGGAACAAGTAAACTTAATAAACATTTATAGAACTCTCCACTTTAAATACACAAAATATACATTCTTATCAGTACCACATCACACCTACTCACAGGTTTAAATGAAATATTGGTTGGCCATTATTAAGCACAATTATTGGCATAAAAGAGGTTTTCAATACCCATTTTTAGAATAAAGCAACACTCCCATTCTCTCTCCCTCTTCCTCTTTCTTCCTCTCCTTCATTCCTTTTTCTTTCTCTCTTTCTTTAAAAAAACAAAAATACAAAAATTAGCCAGGCATGGTGGTGTATGCTGGTAGATCCAGCTACTCAGGAGGCTGAGGTGAGAGGATCACCTGAGCCTGAGGAGGGTGAGGCCACAGTGAGTCATCATTGCATCACTGCCCTCCAGCCTGGGTGGCAAAGTAAGACTATGTCTCAGAATATATTTAAAAAAAGAGAAATTGAAAAATATTTTCTATACCCTAATTTTCCTTCCTCTCCAATAGGCAAGTTTATGGACTGGAAACTTTCTGATCACTCCAGAAGTCATCTGCAAAGTAGGGAGAGAACTGAACTGAAATACATCTTCCAAATATATGCAACAATAACAAAAATGAAAAAAATCTATTAACATAATTAAATGTTTTTTCTTCTTTAATCTGCTATAGTAATGACTTATGTGAATAGATTTCCTAGGGTTAAACTATCTTTCAGCCTTGAAATCCAAGCACTACTTGTTTATGGTTTATTTCTAACTTAATCCATTCTTTTTTTTTTTTTTTTCAAATATTCAGGGAACTTTATTTTTAAAGAATAAATCAAGTGAGACACAGCTTTTGTTTACCCAAACATGCATAATCCAACCTGAATATAAAATGCACTTAATTGGTAAATTACACATGAAATACAAAGGGAATGCAATTTTACATACGTAAAATGATTGCCAGCTTTAGCAATTAAACAGTCAAATGTATCAGAACATTATACATTAAAAAACAAAAACGACAACTTAAAGCCAATTATCTACAAAAAAAAAACAAGGAAAATTCTGATATGGAATGGTTTGACTGAAAGCAAAGAATAAGGCACCTGCTATGAATTTAGCGCAACCATAAAATAGAAATAGTTAACCAAGATACTTGTTTCAAAAAGGGAAACAAGTACAAAGATTGATTAACTGGGTGAGAAAGGCAGTAACAATTTAGTTAAAAACCTGCTGGCCCAAGGTCAGTTGATTCATTTCTTACTCCAGAAAGTCCTTAACCACTCCGCTCCCTTACTGTTCTCCTTGTTTGAGGGTATCAGAAGCCCTCTATGAGGTTCACACTGTGTATAGACTAGGTAGCAGATTTCCCTTCTGTTCCTCTTAAAACACCTTATTTTAAAGAATTATTTTAAAGGCAATTAACAAAGCAAACACAAGCAGCTTTCTTTCCAATGCATTAATACATAGACACTGCTCAGGTTTTTTTCCACCAAGTTATGGCTAAGTATACAAAGAGCCAATACTTGCAGTTTTCAACAGTACTAGAAAACCCAAATCTTGCCCTATCACCCACACCCTTACCATTAGTAAAAGGTAAATTTGATCAATCATAACCTAGAAAATCATATAACAAAGGGAAGACTAAAGACTGATCCTTATCCGTAAATCCATTCAATTAAAGATGCCACTTTAGGCTGATGTGTCTAGTACCCTAAAGGCATTTCGATCATTAATCTAGAAAAAGCATTTCCAAAGTAAGTATAACTTTGTAGTTGATGTGCCTTTTTTTGCTATTAAAAGTGCTACTTAACATGCTAAAATAAAATATCTTATGGCACATTGGCCTCAACAGCATGTTCTGACGAGGCATTCATTTTTAGTAGTATTTTTCCCTAAAATTTTGTTTGGCATAGTAAATCCCTTGGATATACTAAAATTATTCTGGTGAAATCAAGGTAACATAAACAAACCTTCCCTGACTGACTTCTCTCCACCACGGTAGCTTTTAGTGAAACCACAGTAACTGATTAAGTTAGAAAATGATCAATTTTTTTTTTCAATGGCATCTTGGGTTACTATACTTGCTCATGTGAGATCCATGGTAGTGTAATGGAAACAATATTGGTAAAATAGATGTTGTAGCTAAAGCATCTCCTTTTATATTAGACATTTAGAAGCTTTTAAAAATATTTAGATGCTAAAGGTTGTGGTAAAACTAGGCTGTGTAGTTGTTCCATTTATAAGCACCTTATTACAGGACAGTTACATGACCCTGTAAGGAAGTGTGCTTTCAGGTCAAGAGAGTAATAAAGTGCCTAGCTATATAAAAACCACAAGACTTCAAACTGTAATTTAAGCTAGCTGCATTTATACATTAGGGTTAACAAAATCTAGACCCTGTGTATGCAGACTTAGCCTAATTGTCCCTTCTGTGTTAATAACCACATTTAAAAAACTTACTCTTTATTGACTGAATAAGTAGGGTCCACTACTTTATCTTAATCAAATTTTATTGCTTTATTCATGTGGTGTTTTTTGCAAGGCACTGTGGTATGGACTAGAAAACTTGGAATGACTCATGAAGAAACCTTGGAATGACACATGAAGCATGATAGGAAAGTCATTCTGAGGCAGGATGCTTTACTGAATTGTTTTCAACCAGGGTATCAAACATCAGGAATGAGTTCAAGTTAAAATTCACAGGAGAATGGAAACATCTTAAGGTCAGTCACTTCACATGCCCATCCTGATACTTAGAATAATCTGGAAAATTGCAGAGCCACAAACAACAAAAATGAAGAGAGCCAATAACCAGGGTCCTACAGACGCCTTCTCTTCGGGGGCATTTCTCGAGGTCTTGGCGACGTTGCCGCGCTGGGTGATGTTCTTACTGTGCTTCTCGTTGGCCATACGGATCCTCTGCTTGGCGACCATCTTCGCGGCGCCACCACCTGCCCCGGCCACGCCTCGGACTAGCTCGCTCGCCTGCCTCCTCTCGAGCCGCTGCGAGGCTCCGCTCCTAGGTGCTCGCCGCGCTGCTGGAGCGCCGACTTTCTCAGGCCAGGCGCTAGCTACGGCCGCTGGGCCTGGGCGCGGCAAACGCGGAGGCTGAGCACTAGCTGGGCACCGGCCGCCTACTGACTGGCCGAGGGAGGCGGGTGCGCGGGAGGAAGAGAACTGACCGCCTGGCCGTTCTCACGCCGCCGTTGCCGCCGCCTTGGCCGCCGCCGGGAGCGCGGAGTGAAAGAGGAAGGAAACGCAACGCAACAACCGGACCACTTAATCCATTCTTAAATTTAATTCGCTAATATTTTATTTAGATATTTATATCTATTTATGTATATTTTTGTTTGAACTATTCTTACTAGTATTCAGTATTAAGGTTGCCTTTAAAAAATTAATTGTGGCCATTTTCCATATTTTTTAGTCTGAAATAGGCAGTAATAGAGGAATTATATGTTCTTTGAAAGTTAGGTTTAATTCAGGTATAAAACAATCAGGCATAAAACCATAACAGTTGATGGGTATCCTTAAGAACCTTTCCTACTTCTTAGACAGTAATCAGTGTAAACATGTCTGACTCCTCTTGGGTCATTTCATTTGCTTAATCAGTGGTTACTTAATTTACTGATTTTAAAAATAAAACCATTTCCATTTTTATTGCCCCAATTAGTTGGCACCTGTAGTCTTTGCTACTTGGGAAGCTTAGGTGGCGTGATAGCTTGAGCCCACAAGTTTAAGGTTGCAGTGAGCTACGATCATGCAATTGCACTCCAGCCTGGGTGACAGAGAGAGACCCTGTCTCTTTAAAGTAAAAAATAAAAACTATAAGCAAATGGGAACTCAACAATTAAAACAACTCCCCAGAATCCTATGAACCTTTGTTTCTAATTTCAAATATATACAAAATCAGTAAAGAGTATAGTGAACTCCCATTTATCTATTACCCAACCTCAACAAGTATCAATTTCGGTCACTTATATTCATTTAACTTCTACTCAATCCTCCCCATCCCATATTATTTTGAAGCAAATCACAAATACCATATCATTTCATCATAAATATTTGTATTCCCTATTTAATAAGGAATCTCTTTTAACATAATCACAATACTGTATTTGTATTTTCCTAGCAGCTAATAATGTTGAGTAGCCTTTTATGTGCTTACAGGTCATTTGCACAACTTCTTTGTATAAATGTCTTTGGCCATTTTTAACAATTGGGTTACTTGTTTTGTTATTGAATTGTAAGAGTTACTAAATATATTCTGGATTGTTGAGAAATGTTAAGTTTATGAAAACTGAGAAATGCTGAGTATATTATAAAAGATATTGTTTGCTGGGAAGAAGGATGGCAAAGAAAACCTAGACAGCCCACCCCCCAACCCCCGCCAAGTAGATAACTACTTGGGGCATTCCAAAGTGGCAGGACAATGTATAAATATTATACACTAGTTAAAACAATTCTTTAACATAGCTGACCTTGTCCTGGTGGCTCCCTTGTGGAGCATACTTTTTAGCTTGTTTGTAATCAGTGGTAAACGGGCAACAGCTGCCTCCTTGGTGTAGTTTTTGTGTTATGAGAAAATACAGATCACCTGTTTGTTAATAATAATCACCAGTTCAGAGAGAATAACTATATGGATCAGAATCCACCTGGGGCCTTCAGCCTGGAATGCTGTCAGCCCCCGAGGCTCTCAGCTCAGAAGGCAATTGGTGTCCCAAATAGACCCACTTTGCTATTCTTTCTGGGTGTCTGCCTCTCAGTTCCTTCAGCGCTGCCTGGATGAGGGTCTCTACAGCTGAGCTGATGCTTGGCACTGGACACTAGACCCTTATCATATACATGTTTTTCAAATATTTTCTTCCTTTCAGTGTGTTGTCAGATCACTTTCTTGATAGTGTTCTTTTTTGTTGAGATGGAGCCTCGCTCTGTCACCTGGGTTGGAGTGAAATGGTGCAAACTTGGCTCACTGCAACCTCTGCCTACCAGGTTCAGATGATTCTCCTGTCAGCCTTCTGAGCAGCTGAGATTATAGGCACCCACCACCACACCCAACTAATTTTTGCATTTTTGTTAGAGACGGAGTTTCCCAATGTTGGCCAGGCTGGTCTCGAACTCCTGACCTCAGGTGGTCCACCCACCTCAGCCTCCCAAAATGCTGGGATTACAGTTATGAGCCACTTTACCCAGCCTCTTGACAGTGTTCTTATAAAAACAAAACTGTTTAATTCTGATGAAGTCTGTTTTATTTCTTCTTTGGTTGTTTCTATCTTTGGTATTATATCTAAATAGCTAAGAGACCATTGCCTAATCCAACATCATATTTACACCTATAGTTTTGTCTTAGATAAATAAATATTTTATGTCATTGATTCATTCTGACTTAATTTTTCTATGTAGTTTGAATAGAGGCCCAACTTCATTCTTTTGCATGTGGATATCCAGCTGTCCTAAAACCATTTGTTGCAAACACTTCTCTCCCACTAAATTGTTTTGGCTTCTTTGTTGAAAATCAATTGACCATAAACGTATGGATTTGTTTCTGGACTCTAAGATCTATTGAGATATACTGATACATTTGTCTGTTTCTAAGCCAGTACTACAGAGTCTTGATGATGCAATGGGCTCAGATGCATTCTATGCATGCAGTGAGTTTGCGCTGCACTTGAGGAACAGTGAGCATAGAGAATCCACTCCTTCTAGAGAAGCAGTAATGAAGCCTGCTGTTGTCTAAAAAATGACCCAGGTCAGGGCCTTGCAGCTTTGACACACCCAGAAGACATGTAGGAATACAGGAGATACATGAAGAGCTCTCTTCTGACAGAGGGAAGGGTCTTTACTCCGAGTTGGAAAAAACAGATCTGTGTTAGAACAAATGTTTACAGAAAAGACACATAACTTTGACTAATACATCATTTCCTGTGCTAAAAAAAATAAGAGCCCAGGAAGAAGAAAAAAATCAGGCTAAGAAGAGTAACTGATGAAAGAAGACTCCTGAGAAAAAGGGTTACAGAACACAAAGCTCCAGTGGAAGAATTGAAAGACTGTTGATATTAAACAGAGGAAAAAAAAAAAAAAGATGGTGGGGGCAACAGTTTTTTTTTAAGACAAGACATACAAGAGAATAAACGTGTATGATGATGAGATTGTTGATGCTATTTTTATTTCACATACTATCCCATTTTTTGGAAAGCAATGTATTATTTTTATAATATAAAAAATGGTAACTATTGTATATTTTTTAAATTCAGAAAAGCATTTAAATTACAAAATTTAAGAACTTAAAAATTATAATTGATAAGAATTCTTATTGCTTTCTTTGAAAGGTATATTTTAAAGTTTTATTCCTCACATGACTTAAAAGCCAAGCCTGGCTAGCCTGACATGTAAAGAGCTTGGAAGTCACCACTGCATTCTAACAACAAGTAAAAGGCTGAGAAAACTGAAAAATCAACAATTCTTCTTAAAGTCATAAGAGACAAGAGGTCAGAGGGCAAACCACTGCCCCCAAAATTGAGTCACAATGTCCCAAACCAGAAAACATCAAGCAGACACTTTTATGGGAACCAATGTGGTGATAGGAAAACTTAAACCTTAATTGTAAATTGCTGGAAGTTCAGTCTGGACATGTCTGAAAGTTTAAAACTCATTAAAATTCAGAATTTCTGCTCTGCAAAAGAGAATGAAAAGATAAGCCACAACTGGGAGAAAAATTTGCAAACAATATATTTCATAGAGGACTGTTATATAAAATATACAGTTAAGAAATTGGCAAAAGGCCTTAACAGACACATCATCAAAGAAAATACGCAGATGGCAAATAAGCATTTGAAAAGATGCTCCACATCATATGTCAATAAGGAAATCCAAATTAAAACAAGATACTACTACACACCTATGAGAATGGCCAAAATCCAGAACACTAACAACACCAAATGCTAGCAAGAATGTGGAAAAACAGGAACTCTCATTCATTGCTGATGAGAATGCAAAATGACATAGCCGCTTTCTGGATGACAGTTTGACAATTTCTTGCAAAACTAAACATACTGTTGTCATAAGATTCAGCAATTGCACTCTTGGTATTTACTCAAAGGAGTTGAAAATGTATGTCCACACAAAAGCCTGCACAGGGATATGAACAGCAACTTTGTTCATAATTGCCAAAATATAAATGCTACCAAAATATCCTTTTGTAGATGAATGGAGAAATAAACTATAGTGCATCCAGACAATGGGGTATTATTTACTGCTTAAAGGAAATATCAAGCCATGAAAAGACATTGAAGAAACTTAAATGTATATTACTAAGGGAGAGAAGGCATTCCATAAAAGAAACATACTGTATGATTCCAACTACATGACATTCTGAAAAGACAAACCGATGGAGATTGTAGAAAGGTCAGTGGTTCCCAGGGATTAGGAGGAAGGAGAGATTAGTAGGGAGGAATGAGAAGGCAGAGAACAGAGGATGTTTAGGACAATTAAACTACCCTGTATGATACTATAATGGTAGACATATGTCATTATACATTTGTTCAAACCTATAGAATGTACAACACCAACAGTGAACTCTAGTGGGCTTTGGGTAGTAATGGTATGTCAATGCAGGTTCATCAGTTGTAACAAATGTACCACTCTGGGAGGGGATGTTGACAATGGGGGAGGATCTGAATGTGTGGGAACAGAAGAAATATGAGAAATCTCTGTACCTTCCACTTGCTATAAACCTAAGACTGCTTTAAAATAAAGTCTATTTTCAAAAAATTCCTATGAAATATGAAACAATACAATTTTTATAGATCATTAGATCATAAAGTCTAACATTTTAAGTTTAAATCATATTACTATATAATAATAAGACTCATAAGTATTTCTCAGGACAAAATTTGTCTTAGATTCTAAGCATTGATTTTTATCCCTCAGTTTTTTCTATCTTGAGCTTTAGCTGATCACTATATCAATTCTAAATGTTACATATAAATTTATCAATTGAGAAATGTCAAAAGGCCAAATTGCCCGAAATCTCAACCCTTCTGATATACCAAGATGGCTGAGATTCCTACCATGAGAGTCATTCCCATCTTTTAAGTTATTATGTCTGCAGAAAGCCTGTACTAAACTACAAATGTACTGGGGGAAGGTGGGGCTCATGAAGGCAGGAGTACTCAACAGCACAGTGAAAACAACGTGGACCTTGGAGTCTCACACACCAGAGTTTGAGTGTTGATTGAGCCACTTACCACTTAACTGTGTGACCTTAAGAAGTTGCTTAACATATCTACAT